TTCCTAACCTTTTTCTTTAAGGGACCCATTTTCTATCATTGCATAAACTGACAAGTTTATCTATAATAATCTAAAAGGATCTGGATGAATTGAGCAGAATATTTCCTGGGAATTTTGCATCAGAGATTAGTTTTCCTGATATTTCTGGGGCCTTTTCACACAATTCTTTGTCTGTGCAATTTTTTTTTTTAATATTAATAACGTTACATACTTAATAGGCTTCTTATTTGGAGACATTCTGTGTTTTCTTATTGTTCTATAAGCTCTTTGAGTTCCGGTCTTTAGAGTTTAGATCTTAAATAATTAATTAACAACTTTAAAAGTAACAGTTTCATTAAGTTTTCTTCAGCCCTACTGTGTATTTTTTAATTCTTTCTTACACCCCAAAAAATCAAGAAGGCATCGCGACTCCTTATGAAGTTTCGGTGACCCCTAGTGGGGGTCCCGACCTCCAGGTTGGGAACCACTGACCTAACTGATTAATTATTGCAACAGTGTAAAACCCACAGATGGTCCATTTACAATGATATGGCAGAGACAAGTTGATTGTGTGAGCATTATACTAAAAGACGTGCTTGTCACATAGCTTTCATACAGTGTGAATGTGTTTCTCATTCTGAGCTCGTTCTGCTAATGAACAGGTTGGTATCTCGAGTTAAGGGTGAGCGTCACCACGTTATTGAACAGAGACAGCTGTCATGCATCTGCTCTAATCTGTTGATAATGTTATTACATGCAGGTTTTCTAGGGAGTTTGCTGCTTGAAATCAGTGGAGGTTTAAGTGGCTGCAGTCAGACTGATGGGACTTCAATAAGCAGTTTGATCAGCTCTGCAGGCAGTCTGTGGCAGATTGAATACTTGAATACTAGCGTGAAATTGATCCAGTGTTCCTTTCAGTTTTTCTTCTTGTCAAGGTAGATGTGTGTGTGTGTGTGTGTGATGTTTGAAACAGCATTTTAAAACTCAGCCGAAAAACAAACTAATGGAAAAGTCACAACTGTCCTGTAGATGTGACACATGGTGTCATTTAGGGGAGGAATCTGGAGATATACAGACATAAACTTAAAGAATTTTCTGAGATGTTCTGGAATTTTATAGGCAAAACAACTACTTGAAAATGAATCTGTAGATGAACTGAATATCTAGAACAATCCACTCTAACATGTGCAAGGACCTGCAAGTGTATTTTGAGGTTGAACTTTTTGAGGGTCATTTAATTATTTAAGGTGTATTTTCTGTTTTCCTGTGGATACCCGCCTACAGCATGTTGAGATATTTCTAGCAAACACAATTCAATAGTTCGAATGCACAAAATGTTTCAGCAATCTCAAATAGCAAGGGCCTCCTTCCAGAGCTGATATTTTACACCAACCTGCAACAATCTATCCGTAGAGAGGCCACAGGAAATAGACCAGAATGCAATGTAGCAACAAGGCAGGTTGCAATCTGAGTGAAGTGAAGTTTATTAGACAGTGTGAGCTGAGGGGGAAGGGAGTGAAAAACAACTTCTCTTCACTAAATCTAAGTGAAAGAACTGAACACTGAAGTGAAGCAGGTACAGTTTCAGTGGGGCCTGACGCTGACACTCATTTTCATTATCCATTTTAATCTGAAAACAAATCGCAGTGTGTGAGGAACTGGAACCAGCAAGTGGCTGCAGTTTTTGCTTAATGAATGACATGAAAGATTAATGGATCAAATTATAGCGTTAAAACTATTTAATTCATTAATTGATCAACAGAAGATTAATATATGTAATCTGCTTTTCTTTGCCGTCTGTAAGCTTTCTGTGTTTTGGATTTAAAACAAGTATTTGAAGACGTCACTCTGGCCTCGAGATATAACTACTCTGACGGTTTATAGACTAAATTATTACTCGGCTAACAGATAATGACCATAGAAAAATAATAGGTGCAGACTTAATCAATTATCTGTTATCAAAATTGTCGCTGCAAACCTCTATGACGGCTGCAACCAACGATCAGTTTCACTATCGATTAATCAATTAGTTGTTTGCTCCATAAAATGTCATAAAATGTGGGTCACTGTTTCCCAAAGCTCATAATAATAATAATAATAATAATAATAATAATAATTTAATAGTTGACAACTAGTCGTCTCATCATTGCAGCTCTAATCACAGCTGAAGTGAGCAGCACCGACTGATATTAAAGCCCTTTGAGGCAGATATCAGATTTTTGAATTCAGGCTTTATAAATAAAGTTGACTTCAGATCTAATGCTGCTCTCTCACTCTCCTGCCTGCAGCACGCCTGCTTGGAGCTCCAGTGTCAGCCTGTAGTACCAGAGGGGATGGATCCTCTGGGTGCTCGCTCCCAGTTCGTGGACATCCAGACCCTCCCCACGTGGCAGCAGCAGCTGGACGAGGATGGCGAGGAGACGCCGCTGGAGCAGGGCGACAGCCTGCTTAGCCAGCAGGCCTTCCCCTCACCCTTCCCCTTCAGACCAGACATCAACCGCAAGATCATCCTCTTGTGAGTCACGTATATTTCTTCACATTTTCTCCTCTATTTAGATTGTCAGCTTTTTAAGAGCTCACTATGTCAGCCTCGGTTTCAGTTTAACTGATTTTTTGGAAAGGATAGACAAAAGGAGATCTTCTCCACCAGTAGAGGATCATATAATCTTTTAAATAAAGATGCATCATATTAATAATCAAAACTTGAGTTACAATGTTTTGGCATAAACAGATCAAAACATCTGTGTTTGTGCTTTTGATCAGAAACATATTGCAGATATTATCGTTCTTTGCATATTTCTACATTTATTCAATGATTATATGAATAAAACCTGTATTTACCTACTGAGATTAAAATCTTTTTACAGGTGCGACCTAGCCTAGACAGGGTCAAAGATATTCCAATGTGTTTTCCCTTTCCCATGGTTCTCCTGTGGTTGGCCACTCTGCTGAAAGCTGCTAGCCAAAGATGAATTGTGTGTGTGTGTGTGGGTGTGTGTGTGAGAAAATTGAAATGGTGTTTGAGAGGCTTGCCCAATAGTAATTCTTCATCACATAATTAATTACATTTGATCTGTTGTGTGTTAATTCTTTGGCCTTTTTTTATTTAAAGCTTCATCTCGTAGAATAATGGGATCCTGTGTGAAGTGGCTTTAGTCCTGTTGGCGCTGATACTGTCAGAGTTAAACCCCTGCAGTTCACATTCTTCAGATGTTCATGCGGTCACCCTTTTATAATGTGAATTTAATGTATGAACAAACTAATCACACATCCCAATCACTGGGAAATGAGATTTGCACCCATCATGCTCTTCACATGTGTGTAAAATGGCCAATCACTGACAACAGTGGGTATTGTTCCTTTTGGACAGAAAGTGAAGATTTTTCCAAACCAAATCTCTTCTTGAGTTTTTATTAGTTTTTTCTGGTATCAGATATCCCATCCAGCTGTCGCTCTGGAGTAGAATAATGACAGCTGCTGCAACGTGTCTCACAAATTATTGTGTCCGTTTCATGGTCACAGGAAGATCCATGAAACTGACTCTTGAACTCCATATTGCTTTCTCTTATATAACTGCAATTAAGGAGATTCTGAAGTTGTACTTTTTGGAAATTGCTGTGGATTGAAGCGTGTTGTAGAGCTTGTGGTGACTGAAGCATGACGTTTCAGTGAAGTGAGGATTTTTCCTTGAACTAAGTATGCCTTTGATGAAGCCTTAAATCCTCTTTTCATACAGAGTCAAGAATTAGATTTTCCAGTTCCTGTGCCTGTTGCATATTGTTTACATGCTCTTTTAGATACATCTGTACTTCCATTACCAATCTATTTTTAGCCCATTTATATTAGGTTTTGATTTCTGTTTATGAAATGTTGTTTTATGGTATCAGTGCAGCGTGTTCCTTTTTATAAATGCTTGCTTTGTACTTTAAACAGTGAATCATGTGATTCCATTGAATTCAGCCTACTGTTTGGAGAACATTAATTTACTCTGTTATTAAATGATCCACTGATTAGCCTGAATTTGTCTTCTGTCTGTTTTTTACTTTATCAAATTATCTCAGTAGACTATTGATAGAGTCAGAGTGGATCCATGCTGAAACCAGTCAAATATCACATTCGATCTGACCTTTATACTACATTGGTTTTTTTTTTTCACTCTGTTCACACTGTAGCTCCAAACTCTTCCAAATCCTGATCTGATGCATTCAGCATACAGGCAGCTTGTATGGAAGATTGAGGTAGAATTTGTCAATTTAGTTAGGAACAGAAATATTGTAAATAAACATCACACTTTTTTCTGCGAATAAAGACACAAGCAGGAGAAGCAGTGTATATTTTTGCTCTAGACATGGGTGTGTTTTTGGTCATTACTGGCAGTTAATAGTAGTATCAGATGTGTCTTACATCCTACACATTCATCAGGTATTAGTAGCAGTTTTGTTTCTGCGATGTAAACGCTGCCTGTGTCTCTCCACATGCTCCCCAGACCAGTTCAGAGTCCAGATCACCTCGTAAATCCTCTTTGTGGAGAAACACATGACCATCCGCAGCCCGACTTGGCAGTGGCTTCTCTGTAAAGGCCCTGTTGTTTCAGCAGCCCTCTCGTGCTTCGTCATCAGGAGCAAGCGCATTCCTGCTGCACTAACATGACCAGAGCTCCAAGGAGAATTGACCCACAAGCAGTGGTATCTTTTTTTTTAGCTTGTGACCAATATTATTAGAATTTCAGTTTTTTTCCTGGTAATAATTTTAAACCTGTTTATCCAAGAGGATGATGGTAGAAAGCTGACACAGAATGGAGATACTATCTCCTATACTGTCTGTTGCATACTAATTTCCATGGAAGTCAACAAAATGACGACGTGCATTTTTATTCGTCATTATAGGATGAAATGAAACAAGAGGCTGTTATTGTTTTCCAATAAAATATGCCTCTCATAATACTGAACCAAGTAAAAAATTTGTCTATTTCACACTTGTCAGACAGTCAATAATACTAAATCAAATTGTCCCCTCTAATACAAATCACATCTTAACAAAATGCAGGCATTTAAGAAGGCTTATTTTCAATTCATTCATTCTACAGCGAATGTGGCTGGTTGAACAGATGAGTTATTGTACGAGCATTTCAAAATCCATATGTCTTATTTTCCCTGCAGAATTTTCAGTGGAAAATCTTTGAGGAAACGAATGCTAATAATGATGGAATGGAAACATTTCTGCGATGCCAATTTATTAAATTTATACAATGATGAATTGTATTATTAAATTACTATATTATTATATTATATTCCAGTTTTGTCCACTGCCACACCACCAAAGTTACTTCCTTTGGAACCAACTCAACACAGCAGAACTGGCAGCAGTAGCTGTAGTCATGACAAAAATATGCCAACGTGTCACAATGTTTATCACATTAAAAATGATGCCACTACTGTCATCACATGAACAATGATATGGCACGCCCAAAACTGACTCAGACACAAGCTGCATGCTGCTTGTCTGGTCAATTACTTACTACTCACTACTTACTTGTTGCCATTTTGCTCCACTAGGAACATTTGTAACCTAAAGATTTAGACAGATGAAGATAAGACTCAGTAAAACGGGTTCTGAAAGGCTGCGACTGCCAACAAGGTCTGTTTCTCAGTAAGAGTGACTCATTTTTATTAACCTAAGAGGAATAATGTAAAAAAAAAAAAAACGTTTCTGGAGGCTGAACTTGTCGTGTGACCAAATGCTTTCAACACATGGTGCTCAAGTAGTTCCTCATTGTCCTTTCCAAACAAACCCTGGAGGTCCTCGGAGTGAAGAAATTACTTTTCTGAAGCAAGTAAAATAAGCATTTTACTTTGGCTCAATGGTGAAATATTCAAGGTTATTTGGATGAATGTGTGCAGACTAGTGTGTGTGTGCGTGTGCGTGCATGTGTGCTCACACAATAACTCTTCCAGTGTTTTGAGAAGGTAAAATGTGAATGAACCTTGTGCTGATTTGTGGGAATTCAACAAATGTACACATTGATTACTAGAGAAATATTGAATAAAACCATTTATTGTGGACCTGCAGACAAAATGGTATGACAAAAAATGATGGTGTCTGGGATTTTGTATGAAATAAAATATAAAAGTTGTGTTTATATCTAGATAAGTCATGCACATATAAGTTTGAAATTTTAATAAAGTCACTCTTTCTTTCTTTCCACAACAGTGCTGGTGATGTGGCGCTGCTGAACTGCACCTCTATCGTGAACACCAGCAACGAGTCGCTGAATGACAAAAACCCAGTGTCTGACAGCATCCATCAGCTAGCAGGGCCTGAGCTGCGAGATGAGCTGCTTAAACTCAAAGGTAGTCAAGGGGGAAAAAACTGGAGAGATGAAAACGAAAAGTTTGATTTTGAGACTTCCTGCTCAGTGGTGCTGCGGGCCAGGCACATGATGATCAGCTGAACTGGAAAGAAAACGGGACCTAACTGCAATCGCTCCTCTTTTAGAAAGGCTCCACAGCTGCTGAATTTAAATGTCTCTAAAACCTCAATAATACATATTGTTTTTGGAAGAGTCTACATCATACTGACAAGAAATAAGATTGACTTGTGTTGGTGATTGAAGAATTCTCACATATGGCACAACTTCCTTTTTATTTCTGAAACTTTCAACCACATCCTTAGTAGAGTGGATAATTTCTTATAGAGATCCCTGTAATCACATGACCTAAGTATTTTATTTTGGTATATTTGTGTATATCTCAAGCACTCAAACTGAAAATATCTGCATGGGTGGATAGCATATACATTCTTGTAATACTAGCTTGAACCTTTTTAAAAGCCTAGAATCCATACTGGAAATTTCAAATTTGTAAAGATTTTAGCACATGCAACAGTAGTTGTCATTTCAACAACAATTTCTGTTCCCAATCAACTTCATATTAAATGGCAAATTTGTTTTATTTGCATGTTTGTGTGCAGGATGTCGGACGGGGGAGGCGAAGCTGACCAAAGGCTTCAACCTGGCGGCGAGGTTCATCATCCACACGGTGGGACCAAAATACAAAGCCAAGTACCGGACAGCAGCGGAGAGCTCGCTGTACAGCTGCTACAGGAACATCATGCAGCTGGCTGCGTAAGAACCATCAACTCAACCATTCAATCACTTTTAAACCAGGCTGTTATTAAAGGACCAGTGTGTAGGATTTAGTGGCATCTAGTGGTGAAATTGAAGATCGCAACCATTTGAATACCACACACCTTCCAAGTGTGTGGGAGGAACTACGGTGGCTGTGAAACTCATGAAAAACAAGAAGGGCCCTATCCACAGCCAGAATTTAGTTTGTCCATTCTGGGCTACTGTAGAAATATGGTGGTTCAGCATGGCGGCCTACGTGGAAGAGGACCCGCTCTCTCTGTAGATATAAACACAATGATTCTTATTTTCAGGCGATTATACACAAAAAAACATACCTATGACTATTTTATTGTATTGCAGCCAACAGATCCTCCTGAATGTTACAAGCTGGACCTTTTTTAATGTGCGGTAATCAAAGAGACACTCCTCTCTCGTAATTGTGTTTATCTGACGAAGCAACAAGTTCTAGAAGTGATGTGAAATCACTTCATTTCTTGTTGAGTTGAGCTGTCATGACAGATTTCCCCTCAGATATGGTTTTGTTTGATGAACAATATTTGTGCCTGACAGGTGCAAATAAACAATGATTTGATGAAACGCATTTGAAAGACAGCAGGAATAAACATCTCAAAAAACACTGTCTGGAGAAGAGCTGCATCTGTGTTTGGGGTAGATGGTAAAACTTGAAATGTAGCTGAACATATTAACTCATTTAAGGCAGTCATTCAAAAGTCAGAAATACAGGATTTGCACATTCAAAACATTGCAGCCTCAGACCACAGGCTAATGAGGCTTCTCGTTTGCATTTTGTATTTGCCTGACGTGATATACATTTTTGTGATATTATGGCTGTCTGCTTGATTGTGTCGCTGTTTAATACTGCAGCTATAATATAATATATGAATATAATATAAATAAAGAATATTGAAAATGTACAAAGTTCTGATAATCTAGTACTTACTTTTAAAATGAGAAGTACATTATCATTTGGAATAGTATGTGTAGTTATATTGGTTTAAAAAACCGTGTGTGTGTGTGTGTGTGTGTGTGTGTGAACCATCTAATCAGTTACTGGTATGTACTGTAAATGTGGTGTACAGTATGTGAGATAATTTTTTCTTGTCACCTCAGAGAGCAGTCGATGGCATCTGTTGGCTTCTGTGTGGTGAGCACAACCAAAAGAGGTTACCCACTGGAGGACGCAACACACATTGCTTTCAGTAAGACATTAAGAAACACACAACTTTCTACCAGTGAGGTACAGATATACACAGGTTGTGATAAAATGCATAGTGATAGTCACTTATCACGCCATATAGCACACGTTTTTGGTACACACACAGTCCCAAATACACATAGATAATTGCCTTATAACACCTTGCCTTGCCTTATAACACACACTGCAATCCTTTATGTCTGTCTGACATTCAACTTAAATGACAAGTTCACTTAAAGTACACACAATTGCTTGATGATATACAACTAAATCTGAAACATCCATGTTTCAGATGCACCCAAACACATTACAGATCCAGTGACATAGACCACCCATAGAGGTTATACATAAGAAGGTTTCTGTATTTGCATAGTGAAATCTGTTAGTATAATGCAATACAGTTCAACAGCACCACAGACTACAGCCTCCAAGACACACCTCTCTAAAACAACCTCAACAAAAACTAAACTATAGCCTTGATTAAGGGATGATTTATTGTAGGTTGTTAAGCAAATACAAACACACAAGTAAATACATATGTGTTTATTATTTACCAGGTTCTAAAGTAATGGGTAAGTGAAATGGGAAGTAATTAGTCTGGTTAATTTTGACAAGATTATTTGATAACTTGATAAACTGAAATGTTTATGCTGCCTAAAAATGATGAATAAACATTCAGTGGCACCATTTTCATTAGTGTACAGATTTTGTTGCTTCATATCTGTGAAAGTCTTTGTTTTTGGGACTGTTGCAATTTAGAGAAATCGTCTAGGATATTTGGACCTTGTGATGGACGTTTTTCACAATTTTTTACATTTTATAATTGTAGTTGATTGTGTGTGTGTGTGTGTGTGTGTGTAAAATTGACGTGTTTATAGGAACAGTGCGCAGGTTCCTGGAGAATCATGGAAACAGCATAGAGGCGGTGGTGTTCGCAGTGTCAGACACAGATGAGGTTTGTATGGCTTTAGTCTGTGACAGTTCCTTTACATTGCACCAAAATCACTGTACGGGTAACCAAGAAGTGTATTATATAAAAAAAAAAACAGCTTGAAAGGGATTTATTGTATGTGACATGTTGCTGCGAGCGAAAGGTAGGTAGAAATGGTTAAAGAAAAGAATTAGGAAAGAGAGCTTGAGAGAGAAGTTCAAACCATTCTCGTTTCACCTGGCCAATCGCAACATGAATAAGTTATTGAAATTGTGGTGAGAAGGTTTTGACACTTGGGTTGAAGCACACTGACACCTTTTATTGTCTTGCTCAAGGCCAGTTCAGAAAGTTAGATGCTGGGTGTCATGAAAGACTGAACCAGATCAGTCCTCCTTATTCTGCTGTGCTCTCTAAGATGTCAGTATGTATCATTTTGGGCATTAATATGAGTACTGATATGTGTGTCCTTGCAGCTGGTGTACAAGAAGTTACTGCCTCTCTACTACCCTCGCTCTGAGGAAGAAGAGAAGGCCTGCCTGCCACTCATCCCAGCTGACATTGGCAACTCAGAGGGTGAACCGGTCGTCCCAGAGAGACAGATCCGCATCGCAGAGAAACCAGGCACCCTGGAAGGTACAGTTTCAACACTTTTTTCATTATAATGTGATGAAATCTTTCCTGGTATTAGAAAGGACCGTAATGTGCTTCACTTTCATGTCAGCAATCTATTATAAGAGTAGGCATCAATTCTTTTGAAGTGGTTGATACTTAACTTTAGATTTAGACTCTTCCAATAAAAAAAAAACAATCCAAGATTAATAAATGTGCTTTTTATGGCTGTTGCTAAGAGTCAGCGAAATGAATACACAGGCACAATAAATATTTAATAACTTTCCATTTCTGTCCTCACTCATCTGACACATCTCACACCGAGGAAAAGGAACCATTTATTGTTGTTTTTTCCTTCTTTTGACCTCGGACAGATCAGGGCTTTTAATTCAGTTTGAGGCACTTCAAAGATAACGGAGGTGTTACCTGCACAATAAAAAGCACCAGTTTTAACAGGTTAATAAGCTGAAGCTTTCTCTGTTTACAGTGTTTGTTTTTAATTTTGGAAAAATGAAAACAAAATAACTTGAATCTGTCAGGGTGGCCAGTCTGTTCTCTCTGTGTGGGTAAAGAGGTTACCAGTCACTCAGTCTGTCAGTCAGCCAAGTAGTGATTCAGTAACCATATGGCTATCTACCAATTCAACCAGCTGTCAGTCATTCTGTCAATTAATCAGTAAATCAGTCAACAAACCACACAGTCAGTCACATGTCCAGTGCCACAGTCAAAATGTCAGCCCCAACATCAAATACAGCCTACACCAGTACCTTCACACACTCACACCCACTTGCGCAATACTCTCACTCGTTCAGCGAGCCATGTCTTTCTGTAGGGCTTCATGTTTTCCAAAGAGTATCATCTGCATATTACAAAGCGTTTCAGATGGCGACCGGCAGGCCTGACTAACACGGAGCAGGTGTTCTGAACTCACAGGTCGTTTTAGGACACAATGTTTTAATTGTCTCCATATTAAATTCTGTTAAAGCCTGTTAAAAGGCAGTTTTTCCTTGCCCCCGTCGCCAAGTGCTTGCTCATGGTGGTACTGTTGGGGTCTCTGTAAATGTTAAAAGGAGT